CTATCTCACTATCTATGCTGGTAAGGTCATAGACCCTACAGGATAATCTATTACTGCCATATTCCTAAACATACACACACACACACACACACACTCATACACACACTCACACAACATTGCTCCCTCTCAAAGCTATTGTTTCTCTAATAAAGCCCCCATACTAGGAATGAAAAAACATCTTCCAAGTTGTTGATCATAGGAGTCAAAAAAAAATCTCTAAATAATATAGGCCATTATTATTACTTTGGTTGTCCCTCAGAAGTTGAAGGTAAACCTTATTTCTGAAAGCAGTATGCACTTTTTACAGAATATTCAAAGGATTCCAGCTGGATCTGACAAGGTAGGACCCTCCCTGAGGACCAGCTTTCATAGTATGAAAAGGTACCATAATATCCACCAAGGGTGGGAAGCAATCAATAGTTTTATGCAACTGTGATGCCGATGAATCATCACTATCACTTGCATGGCAATATATCCCTAAAAGTTTCACAATGGCACTCACATCTTGTCAGTAAACAATAGCTGCCTAAAAGAACTTAAAGCCCACTGAACAGGAGGTAAATCTTGCCTGGTACTGGAAATCTAGCCATACACCCTTGCCTAGTGAGGTCATGGATGTTGAAGAAAGTATTCCTGCCACTTTCCTAAACCAGTATATTCTAAACACTTAATCTTATACCCACAGATAGGTGTAACTCTCACAGCTCATTAAGAACTTTCTTTTATTACCAAATGGGGAACCAGAAAATTACAACTGATAAAAATGCAGAGAACATCTGACCTGTTAGATTCCCAGCCCCAAAGGATATATCTAAAACACAATTTACATTTTCTACACCTAAAGATCAGGGAATATCATGAAAGACAGTAGAAAGATTGTAAGGACCAGAAGACCAGTAAGATCACATCTCCTGGAAATGATAGGGAAGTTACACCTATGATACCTCCACAGTATGTGTGCCTGAATAGTACTTCAACATTGACAATGACAATTGATAGTCTATTGTTGAAGGTGAGAATATCCAGAGTCCATTCTATTCAAAACACTACTAGCAACTAAGGAATGTTGAGAGAAACAAAATTAGCCATATCCAAGGAAGAGCTCCATAAATGATAATGCAATTCCAAGTGGTCAAACAGGAAATCATAAGGTTTTACTTCTATATTTATGCATTTATATATAGCAATAAAAATTCAAAGAAAAGAGCCATAAACTTGAGAGGTAAAAGGAGGAAAGAAAAAGGCAGAAATTATGTGATTATAGTTTAATTTTTAAAAAATGAAACATATATTTAAAAATTTCATAACAGCATTTGGAAGTGCATCCAATATCTGAACATTTGTTTTCAGAAATATCTTGGTAGGAAAATGTTCCACCTTATATACTATTATACTGTTAAATTAATAATATCACTAGTAAATGCATAAAGATAATTATTAAAATAAGAAAAAAAGAAGACATCAATTTGAAAGGTAATTGGGGGATGGGAAGATATTCTGGAGTGAGGGGTTATGGTAAGGATTGGAGAGAAGAAAGAGAAGAGGGGAAGTAATGCAGTTATATTTTATGTTAAAATAAATATTTTAAAACAAAAGCATTTACTAATAATTAAAATAGTGTAAAGAAGAGAAGATTCATTACTAATAAGTAAGCATGGTAGATAGCATAATTAACCCAATCAATGTTTATAAAAATTAGAGTAATAGTGTGAGCTAAATATGTACAAATAAGCCTATATTTTGATTATAATCTGTGTTTAAATGTTTGGTATGCTAGTCTTCATGAAAACAACCATAATACCCGGGAACAAAGAATTACAGTTGAGGAATTGCCTCCATCAGACTACATTGTGGGAAAGTTTGAAGGACATTTTCTTAATTAAAAATTGACAAGAGGGCTGGAGAGATGGCTCAGAGGTTAAGAACCCTGGCTACTCTTCCAGAGATCCTAAGTTCAATTCCGAGCAACCACATGGTGGCTCACAGCCATCTTAAATGAGATTTGGTGCCCTTTTCTGGTGGTAGGCATACATGCCAGAAAATTGCCAGAACAATAAACAAATAAATAAATCTTTTAAAAGAAAAAAAAAAGAATTCACGTAGAGGTCCAGCCCACCAGGACAGGGGGTCCTGGATTATATAAGAAAGCAGGCTGGGCAAAGCCAGTAAGTGGCTTTCTCCATAGTCCTCTCTGTTCCTGCTTGAATATTTGCCCTGACTTCTTTCATTGATCAACTGTGATCTGCACATGTAAGCTACATATACCCTTTCCTCTCCAATTGATTTTGTCATGATATTTGTGGGGGCAATAGATAGTAAAGTAGGACACACACCAATAACAAATTACAGGTTATGTGCTTACCTTTAGCACACACTAAAAATAAGAAACAGGATCCATGCTTAGTTCACTTTCAGTTCTGTTTTTCTTTTTTTGTTTTTGAGACAGGTCTCTGTGTGTAGCACAAGTTGTCCTGGTACTTGCTACAGAGACCAGGATAGCCCAAACTCATGGAGACTGACATATCTCTACCTCAAAACTGCTGAGATTAAAGATGTGCACTACCAACCTTGGTTTCAACAATTCCCGCTCATATAAACCCTCCCCTTTCTCGCTAATTAGACTCCCGGCGCTCCACCCGGGGCCTAGCGGTAGATCTCTGCATCCAGATTCCTCAGTCCTTGGATGGGGTTTCTGGCACAACTATTAGGGTGTTTGTCCATCCCATCACCAGAGTAGGTCAAGGTTGGATAAAGCACAGGGACAAATAGCCAAGCGAATGGAAACACATGAACTATGAACCAAAGGCTGAGGGGCCCCCAACTGGATCAGGCCCTCTGAATAGGTGAGACAGCTGATTGGCTTGATCTGTTTGGGAGGCATCTAGGCAGTGGTACCAGGTCCTAGGCTCATTGCATAAGTTAGCTATTTGAAACCTGGGACTTAGCAGGGACGCTTGGCTCAATCTGGGAGGAGGGGACTGGACCTGCCTGGACTGAGTCTACCAGGTTGATCTCAGTCCTCGGGGGAGGCCCTGCTCTGGAGGAGGTGGGAATGGGGGGTGGACTGGGGGGCAGGAAGGGGGAGAACAAGGGAATCTGTGGCTGTTATGTAGAACTGAGTAGTATTGTAAAATAAAATAATAAATAATAATAATAATAAATAAAAAGATGTGCACTACCAAGCCCAGCTGTGAGCTTAGTTATTAGACACTTTAACAATCAACATCAGTTCTGACACCTAGTTATTAACAAAATCCAGACTTCAGGAGAATGGTTAATTCCATGTCTATGCCACCCTGAAGCCATGTTGATGTCCATGGACCATGTTGCATGTTGATGTGTGTGGCTTAGACTGATGCCTGAGCCCATGTTGATGTCTATGGTCCATGCTGCTTCTGGGGAAGACAGGGGCATGTTGATGGCCATGGCCCTTGTTGTTATATTGAAGGCCATGGGATGTTGTGATCTATACTGTCACTTGAAAGCATGTTGATGTCTGTGGCATGTGTTGTAGCCAGAAACCACGTGGAAGTCCATGATCCTTGTTGCTGCTGACTATAAAGGGAGAGGAAGCTTCTTTTGCAGTGTGGAACCCCAAATAATCAATAAAAATATTATGTTGGAAAATAATAGGTCATGAATTGGAAAAAGAACAAGGGGGGCTACTGGGGAAGATTTGGAGGGAGGGAATGGAAGGGGAAATGATGTAATTATATTAATATCAAAAAAGAAATGATTACAAAAATATGTCTCATATGTTCTTTAAAGAGAATATCATTTTATCATTAAATTTACATAGGGAATTGCACACATGGCGTATTGTTGCCAGTATTTTTAAAAAGAGCCCACTTCTGTATATCCAGTAACTAAATACTTTTCTATAAGCATGTTATATGTTTACAAGACAATTTACTGAAGGTTCTTTTAGAATAGCAATCCATTAGACCCATCATAAAAAAAAAAACATCATATGATAATGTGGAAACATGGTAGCATATTTACATAGTGAAGTATATATAGCTGTGCAATAGAATGTAGATATTGGGGGTGTCTGTGTGTGTGTGTGCGTGCGCGCGCGCGCGTTTGTGTTTGTGTTTGTGTGTGTGTGTGTGTGTGTGTATGAGAGAGAAAGAGAGAGAGAGAGAGAGAGAGAGAGAGAGAGAGAGAGAGAGAGAGAGAGTTTTCTCCAGGAAATAGGTTGGAAAAAGACTAAATAGCAACTGCTGCCTTCATGATAAAGGAAAGAAATGCCTAAATATATTTTTCACTAGTCCCACTTATTAATTAGAAGTTGATTTGTCAATATTTCTTGAATCCCTTTTCCATGCAAAGCATTGTGTTTAACAATGATCAGTAAAAATGGCATTCACAGTTTCAAATTTTGGTTCTTCAACATAAAACAATTCAACTATATTTAAATTCCTTAATCTTTCTATCTTTTTATCAAGTTCTAGTTGTTTTCTGGAAATTATAATATAGTAAACAATATGTCTTACTTGTTTATATAATAATATGGCTTGCATGACATATATATCACACAATGACATAAAATGTAACACTTATATACATAACAATGTTCACTAAATTTTATATATACTATTATAAAGTATTAAATAATTCGAAGAACTGGTGCTAATTCAGATTATCAGGTGATCACTTGATATCTACAGAAATAGGAACAAACTCAAATGCCGACTTTAAGGGTGAATTGCTAGGCTGTATGGCTCATACTTGGCATTCCTAGCCTTTTAGTTTTTAACAATAATTTCCAATATCCCAACCAAGTCCATTAGGCTCTTTCTCCAACTGACACAGGAACCAGGCCACTCTTTTTTTAACAAAGAGCTCATTAAGACCCATCGTACAACCCTACTTTGTTGAGACTGATGATGCTTTGCTGTCAAATGTTTGTGATTAATCTGAACTCTAAGGGCAATTTTGTGAGCCACATTTTCAGATTGCTGACTCCTGAAATATTTTATCCTTTGTCTCCCTCACAGATTTTTCTTGAACACTGAGATGAAATTGCAGCATCAGTTTTCTTTGTCACAAAATTGGCAGAGTACTTGAAAGACTGAGTATAACACATGGAAGACTTTGCATTAGAGGGTAAACATACAGTGATGGAGCTTTAAAAGAATTGAGAGAAACAATAATCTAAGTAAATGCCATTTTAGAAATGCATTGCTCTGAGAAGGACATGGTGTTTCTTAGATAAGACTTTCAAAGTAAAGTACTGTATGGTTCAAAGATCACTTTCACTGATCTTTGATATATACCATGGGTATGGTAAGAAAAACTATCCATCTACAATTGCTTCTTTGGCAGGCATATTGGAAAAATATTAATCATTATGTTTTGTGATTAATAGAGCTACATTAGACCATGTCTTTGATGAAGAATATCACATCATTCTTAAAGTTATCAGTCCAAACAGTGTCTTTCAGGTTGCTTACTGAAACCTGAGTCTTCCAGAATTTCTACATTACCCTCAAAAACCATGTGCTTGATGGCACTTCAGACCTCCTAAAAACCTTTCATAGTATTCAAAGAACATAAGTGTTTGAGGGTACCAGGTGTACAGGAACCACAGGTGGACACAAATGACGGCATGCTGGCCTGGTGTGCCATAGGATAACTCAAGAGGACAGGTTTTATTTCCCTTAAGAAAAAAACTTGGTCTAGAAATTCCCTAGATAGTGATAGTAAAATTGTTTAATGGATAGGGACCTTACAACCTGAGTACTACTTTTTTGTTGTTGTTGTTTTTGTTTTTTGTTTTTCGAGACAGGGTTTCTCTGTGTAGCTTAGTGCCTTTCCTGGATCTCGCTCTGTAGACCAGGCTGGCCTTGAACTCACAAAGATCCACCTGCCTCTGCCTCCCAAGTGCTGGGATTAAAGGCGTGCACCACCATCGCCCGGCATTGAGTTCTACGTTTTAAGTCCATGTAAAAGTAAAAGAGAACATACTGTACAAAGTTATCTTCTGATCTCCACATTCACACCATGGCATGTGTACCCTCCACAAAAATAATAAGAAGAATAACCATATATTATTAAAAATAACAAGATATGCCCAAGTGGAAAAAAATTCACATAGGAACAAGAATGTATGGTGATTAGTCCCCTCATACAGAAAACTTTTAGCTGTGGTTTAATTTTTATTCTGCTTCATTTGAACTGTTAGTAACACTGGTAAATGTGTACACTAAGGTAATAGAATGAAGATATGAAAATTTAAGACTCATCATACACTACACAGCAAGAAAATGTGCAAAGCTTCCTTATTCACCCTGAAAGTCTAAGACCAAAGGCCTTCTGCGTCTCTAGAGAGAGCTGCTCCCTGCACAAGCAGCAATTTCATACCTAGCAAGTTGGCATTTGCTTCTTTTTCAGTAGGTCCTTAAAAATATAAGGGTAAATATTTAATCACTGAGGTAGCTTTATGCACTAATCTTAATTAATTATTCAAAATTCTTTTAATGCTTTACTATGATATACATCTCAATGATAGTATATGCTGGTTTCAGCCACTGACAAAATTTGACCTTGTCGCACCTCCTCATTTGCTCTACTTTTTCTCAGAAAAGATCATGATCTGAGTTACACCCACCCCTAAGGAAACCTGTGACTTCTTCTAGATTCTGAAGAGGGGCTGGTGAGATGTCTCAGTCAGCAAACCACCTGCTTTGCAAGCTTGAGGACCTGATTAGATCCCAACACCCATGGAAAAGCTGGGTGCAATGATGCATATTTATAACCCCAGCCTTAAAAGGAGAGAAGAAACAGCTGGATTCCTGAAAGTCAATGGTCAGAAACTCTAGCCACCTGGTGGGCAACTCTAATGAGAGACCTAATCTCAAAAAATTAACACGGAGAGGGATAGAGGAATACACATGACATTGACCCCTGGCCTCCATGTGTACACATATTCACACACATGAATAAATACACACATCACAACACACATGCATGCACATACACACAGAGGACAGAAAGAGAGAGAGAAGACTCTGAGAATAATAAACAAATTGCCTAACTATTCTCTCTTGATATTGTGTCAGTCATCATATGTGACAGTAGCCCTTTAAATAACTCAAATACCATCTTTCTTCCTTTAAAGAATGAAAGCATAGAATATCAACAGTACTTTTCTATAAATTCCTTCCTCATTCCACCCCAAAGCTTATCAATTACAATTGTTATGATGACTCTGTTAATGAAAAGTTGCTGTTAGGAATGAACATAAACTATTTTCTGTATCTAACCCAGTAAACCTGGACAGATTATCTGGTAGGTTGGGTATACAGATTTGCTAACCTTTCATTATCCCTATTATGAAACTGATGATTCTGTTACTCTAATTCATTTTCTGACAAGATCTCAATATAACCCTTCTAGAAATTAGCAGACCATTGATCTTCTGTTTTTCTTATAAATGTCTGGACCTTATTATTAATTACATTGTTCATCTGGGTGTCTCAAATGGACTCAGTCACACCTGATATGTAACTATAAGCTTTTCTCTCAGATAAGTAGATCTGTGGTTTATTTTGCAAATAAAGCAAGGAAGCTATGCTTTCTCAACAACAATTAGTAATTTTCCTTGTTACACAGAGCACCATGAATCCAAATATATTAGTAACCTGATCTTGAAAAATTCATACAAGTTTGTAGCATACAATTAGCTTGTAAAGTGGAGTTGAAACTTAGTAATCAAAGATAAATAAATTTAAAACAATTATGAGCATGTATTAGCTTTTGAAACTGGAACTGTAAGGGGAATGCTATGGGGATGCCCAAATTACATATCTGGTTTGCAAAAGCAGGTTGAACTTCAGGTTCTGTCCTGTACTGCACTCCTACAGTTTAGAGTAGTCCTGTAATGACTATCACATGGTTTGATCATTTTAAATGTGTTTTTGTTGGTTTGTTTGTTTGTTTGTTTGAGTAGAAAGGAGATTTATTCAGTGTGGCTACATTGGGAAACGGGACAGACTGATCCAGAGAATGGCCTTAGTCCATTTTAGTGGGAGGAGGTCCTGAAATGACATCAAAGTTTCAATAGAGAACCACAAATATAAATGATATGGACATCTAACCAGTTCTAGTTAAGGTGTGGTCCTACTCACCAGTGGCCCAGATATCCTTGACTGGGCTTCAGTCTCATCATGTAAGGTAATCTGACAAATTGATAAGACTGTAAAATCTCTTCACAGGAGACAAGTTCACATTCTGGCTGGAGCCTTTTCCTCCTCCCAGCATGAGTTCCTGTAGAAATTCCCATTTGGAGAGAAGGGGGACATTGTTTCAATAGTCTGTTTGAGAGCCACAAGTGTCCCTTTAGAATATCTTTATTTCACCATGAGGGTTACAAGTAGCACCTTGGAGGATGCAAAAATCCTTTGTAGAATTAAGTAGGCATTTAAGTTATATCCAGGTCACCTCTCTTTCTCTTGATTTCTGGTGAGTATCTTTGAATTAGTACATTATTTCTAATGTAGATCTAAATATTGGCTACTTGGGAGTTCTTAGAGCCCCTGGGGCAACTACATGCTTTGCCTACTAATTTTTTGTTGTTTTGATCATTTTAAATGTTTTTTTCTCAAGGAATAGTGATATAGGAAAATGTTTATGATACTATATTAAGTAAAGAAATTAGATACAAAGCCAGGTATACAGTATGACCCCAATTAATTTTGAAATATTAATACAGAAATATGCAGATGTTTGTGTATGTTGCATGACATTTAAATGGATTATTTATTGGATTCACATGTTGAACTAAATAAACACACACCACTGGTGCCATTAACTATTAAAAAAACAGAACCCTTTAGAATATTTCCTGAAGAGAATACATTCATGGTCTTCTCAGTTCCCCATCCTTTCCTTTTTGACCTACCCAAACCCTTATTTTATGAATTTGGCTCAGCTCCTTGATTTTAATGCAGAAACTGTCATAAAGCACTGAAGATGGTAATACAATCAACATTTGGAAGGAATATGGAGCAGTTTATACAACAATTTGCAAGCCATTAAAACTAAACATTAATTATCATCATTTAAAAAATTATGTTTAGCCACACACCAAAGGAACAATCCTGCTGCCCATTTTCTATTAGATCACACAGCCTTGTGTTTCATGTACATTCTTTTCTCCCTCCTTCATTATGTCTGTATCTCTCTTCCTTAAAGCAGTCAAATAAATTATCTCATTTGACAATCAAAGAATCTCATGTTCCTTTTTTATAATCGAGGTTCTTCAACGGTGGTTCCCCCTAGATTCCACCATCTATCCTACTCCACTTGCCAAAGTATTCCCAAAATCAATTCCCATGGTAGAAATCATCCTACTGTGCTCATTTTAATTATTAGAGTGTCCTTTCTTAAACTAGTCTATTCATTAAAATGAAAGCTTATTTAATATGTGAATATTAGTTCTGTGATTCCTATGAAAGAACAGTTAGATGGCTTTAAAGTGGACTTGTGTGTGTTTGTGTGTGTAGCTAGAGTTTTTTTGTCTTGCCCACAGTTAGGACAAATCTCTGTCACCCGCCTGTCCCACGCCACTCAGACCCAACAAGTAAACACATAAACTATATTGTTTACAAACTGTATGGCCGTTGCAGGCTTTTCATTGTTAACTGTTTTTATAGCTTAAATTAATCCATTTCCATGCATCTATACCTTGCCACGTGGCTGGTGGCTTACTGGCGTCTTTACATGCTGCTAGTCATGGCGGCGGCTGGCAGTGTCTCTCTGCCTCAGCCTTCTGCTTCCCAGAACTCTCCTCTCTCCTTGTCCCACCTACTTCCTGCCTGGCCACTGGCCAATCAGTGTTTTATTTATTGACCAATCAGAGCAATTTGACATACAGACCATCCCACAGCATGTGTGTGTATGTGTGTGTGTACGTACATGTCTGTATGTCCCCCTTCAGTCAAATTTTGTTTCATCACAGCTATTTTATAGACTTCAAATTATTCTTTACTTTAGTTAATGGACTTGAAAATAAAATAAACATGTAAGAATCAGTCAGTTTTCACATGCATATTAAATATCAATGGTTTATTTTAGTGATAGTAAAATGAAACATCATTGTATTTCATGAAAAATACATGGACACTTACTCATCTAGTCCTTCATAATATAGGTGTTAGTTTACATATTTTAAAACTAAAATGGAATTTCCCTGTAATACTGTTATCTAGGAGTATTTATATGATTGTAATTACAACAGAATTTGAAAACTCCCATTCTGAAGTAAAAAGACATCCCCATTGTTGTACACTTACCACACATTGTTTCCTGTGTTCTATTTTTATCACTTTTTAAAAAGTCAGCATACATTTATTAATTTATGTCAAAAAGAACGTACAATCTG